AGAAACACATTTTTTTTCCTGATGAAAGAAGAGAGTCTACTCTTTCTTTTGGTGTGTTCGGTGTTTACATAGTCATAGCACAAACTATTCTGTGGCTCTGGAAAAATCAGTCAAAATTCTCAAAAAACTCTGGCAGTGAGCGACTCTCTGTTCTGAAAATGGCTGACAGTCAGTGAGTTAACTTACACGGCACATAAAATACGCAGGATTTTGTTTTTGTAGTTTGGAAGATCGGCCTCCAGGACGCCGGCCAGACCCTCCAGGTTACTCTCCAGAGAAGACGTGCTCTGATGGGAGATCAGATAAAAGTTAGATTCTGTATTTAACAACTGAACAAGAATAGGAAAAAAAAAGCAACTTAATATTAGGGTTGTCATGCTACTAAAATTTTAAACTGGATACTGATACTCAGGAAAGTACTCGATACTCGATACCATTTTGGATACCACAAGGGTAAAACAAAGACCCAAAAATTTAACTGAATTGTGTCTTTCATTTAAAACTGACCTGTTACTGATGTTATGGTGGACCACATTAATGACCCTAAACCTAACCCTAACCCACATTAATGACCCTAACCCTGATCCTAACCTGACCCTAACCCTAACCCTTCATAATTGTGAAAAATAAATATTTTTTGTTAAACTTGTTTGGACTTATTGTACAAACCTATTTAACATCCACTATTTTAACATAATATTATGAATAGAGTTTAATTCAGTGTTTGAAAGATTCATTTCACTATTTTTAAATGAATGTCTATATTGCCATGAAGCAATTAGGATTTTCTTGCCTGGGATCTTCCTATTGGTGACCTAATCAAAATGTCTGACTTGGATGTGGGTGGAGTTGGATATGTACTTGATTAATGGTAGTATGTTATTACGTTTTAGTATCGATACTTTTGACAACCCTACTTAATATTAAACCTCTAAACATCTTTCTGACAGCGATCGTGTCAGAAACAGTCCGGAGGTGTTGTGTTTATTCAGAGGACACAAGGGTTTATTTAAATTCTAATTCCTGATGCTAATCTTCTTCTGTGCTTACTTTCTCCCCCACTCGACATATCAACGACTCGAGACGGTCCTCGATCTCGATGGGCTCCGAGGTTCTCCTCCTTTTATGGGGCTGTCCTCCTGGAAAGAGAGCACAAACAGAAAAACACAAAGATTCAGAAGGTGTTTAACAGTAAAACCATTAAAGAAGATGTGTAAGCTAAAAAAAAAAGATGCACAACACCGAAAAGGATTCCTTTACAAGCGAAATTAGCTAAAAGCTAATCTGATATTTTATGTATAAACATTTAGATTTGTGTTTCTGACCAGCATTGAATAACGGTTTATCAGGTCCTGCAGTGAGAACAAACACCCATTTTTTACTTCACATACAAAATTCATTTGATTTATTTAGGAGAAAATGGGAAGTAGGTACAGAGATTTATTTAAACATGGAAAAGAAAATACAATAAAGTACATATAGCAAATAGCCTGTTTAGCTTCCTAAATAATCTCTTCTGATGAGGCCTCAAGATCA